TTCAAAAAACTCACATGTAAAAAATAATTTACATGAGAATTTCATACATGTGTATATATATATATACATGCACGTTTATTCCTGCACAACATCCTTGGAATGGCTCGTATCGGCCTTTTTTCATTCTTAGTTTGATAAAAATGTGATTTATCGTATTTCATGCCAACACTGTGAATCAACTTACGTTGGCCAACCTAAACGTCAAATAACAACTCGAATAAAGGAGCACATGAATTATGTTAAAACTGGACGAATAGATACATCTGTGTGTGTGTGTGTGTGTGTGTGTGTGTGTGTGTGTAGTTGCAAAACATGGTATTGAAACTAGACTTAGTTTTGATTGGAGGTCAGTTAAGATATTAGACACTGAACAGAATTTTTATAAACGGCAAACTTCAGAAATGTTATTCATTAAAAAACAGGAGAGGGGCTTAAATTTGATGAGGGACGCTGAAATTTTACGCGACACGTACATCCTTGTACTTGACAAAGTTCACTTTAAAATGTAGAGAGCTTCGTATTGCTTGTTGATTTTGAGTTTGTTCTTGGATTCAGTATTGATTCCAAGCTAGTACAAGCATGTCATGTACGCGATACTCTATTCAAGCTTTTCTTTGTTGATGGTTGACAGATTATATTCATTTTACTTATTCAAAGACATTATGTTTATTTAATTAAGGTATGATATTATAATTTGATATGTAACATGGCAATTCCAATGTAAAATAATCGTAAAATGGCAATTCCAATGTAAGATAATTGTTGTAACAATATTATGTTAATAGATTCGATCGATAAGGACTTAACATAAAGTCGAAACGTTTCGAAACTCATAAGCGTATAATTATTTACTGCACAACATCCAACACCGGCCTTATACAGCCATTGAACTCGAATTACCACTTGAATTTTGAAAGAGAGCCTGAGGTAAAGCCTCATTTCTTCACAAAATGTAAATAAATTAGAAACCCAGTAAAAAATTTTCCATGTATAAAATTGTATGGACATATTCGGTATATATATATAAATTTGCATAATTAGATATAATAAGTTTAATTTGTGTGTAAGTATGTATGATTATATATCAAAACTTTTTTTAAAATATAGTAAAAATATAGTTTTATACAATTTTTTTGTATCTAACATGATACTAATAGAGTTATTTTGTAATTTGATATGGAATATCTCTGAAGCTATTTTCTTAAAAAAAGAAATTCTTCATGTATAAAGTTGTATGGACATGTTCGGCATATAAATTTGCATAATTAGATATAATTATTTTAATTTGTGTATAAGTATATATGAAAAATTTTTTACCGGGAAGTCCTCAAAACTTTTATTATAATAACTTAATAGTAATAAATAATTTATCATTGCTCTTACCTTTTTGAATCNCGCGGAAAAGAAAAAAAACTGAATTTAGGTATTCGCCCAGAAATATTGTCGCAGTTTTTCATTGCGCAAGAGTATGCACCTCTTTTTCATTGATACTAATAATAATAATGCTCTAAAAAATATTTTATATTTATAACAATTAAATCTTTTTAAAGCTCGAGAAGATACTAAACTACGAAATATATCTGCGGTCATACGAGCCGATTGCAGGATGATGATCGCATCCTATATGAATTTAAGAATTGAAATTCAATTCAAAAACTCACGTGTAAAAATTTACACGCAAACAAATATATATATATATACCCAGCAAACAATTTCTGACTGCGCAGACCTTGGCAACAGAAACTGTGTGCAGAAACGCTACAGTACGGAAACATGCTTTGGTGCTGCCAAAACTGTTAGCACATAGAGACAAAAAACGCAACAACTCTGTTAGCACATACATGA